TTTTTTCTGCATCAGTGTATTTTAATCTCATGCTCTCTCAGTGTGAAGGAAATGTAATGTTGTAATGCACCAATAAAACAACACATGAATGTGGGTTTGTACATCTGTGTGTTTTCATTTTTTTTGGTAAGAGTAAAAGTTACCCAGGTAGTTTCATTAGTAAATCACATGGTGTGTTGCAAAAACAAGCCTAGTGTAACTTGCCTCATTTATGAACAGCAGCAGTTCCAAAAGTCATTACTGTTACTGCAAGAAGGGAACAGCTTTCCTCATTTAAACAAAGTATGCTAACCAACTCTCATCCAGGAAAATGTACAGTATAAGTCCTCAAGGCTGAACTTTTGAAATATTCAGCCAGCTAAATGCAACAAGTCCCTTTGTCTGTCAAGTTCCTTATCATAAAATACCAAGAATGCCATACTTTGTAAAACACATGAGTGGACTAGAAAAGGATAACAAGATCTAATAGAACACAATGGAAAAATTCTGAAACCAAGAGAAGCATGAGATTGTGAACGAGTCAGTAAAATGTCTCTGTCCTGACTGCCAATCTCAGGCAACATGTTAGGAGTAAAGCGGAAGTGTTTATGCTGTTTCATTCCTAGCTTTCCTTGTGTGCGCTTTAGTCTGATTTGGCCCTCTATTCTTGCCCCATGCCTAATTTCTTTCTGTTTAAGGGGCAAAGAGAACCTAAATGTCCTTCTTTCTTTCCCAGGCAAGAGAATGCTGTGCTATGGACACAATAAAATAAAATAAAATATGTGCCTTTCTTTTGTTTTATGGTAGTATAATTTCATTAACTTCAGCAGAACTGCTCTGGATCACTAATCACATCACATCCAATAAGTGGAATAAAGCCTTAGAATTTTGTCCAGTTTCTGCTCACACTCTTAAATTTTTAGGTATGTAATTAGCAAAATACTGCAAATAATTTGACTGTTTTTTTGTTGTTGTTGTGTTAATTTACATCTGACCAGAGTTAGAAAACCTTTGGGTTGCTCTAATCTAATGCAAGAGGAAGGCTGGAACACAGCAGCATGAGGATAATGGGAATTAAAAGATTAGACGTGCTTCCTCTACTTTCAGTGTGCAGAATGTGTAAAGGTCTGTAAGCAGTAGATAACAATTACTGTCATTTGTATATTACCCAGTTTTATATATCCCACCAGTGTTATTACTTTACAATAGTGCTGTGACTGCTGGGATGAGTATAGTATGAACCTTGTATTGAAGAGTTATTCTTTGCTTACATTAATTGATAGAAAGAAAGCAAATTCTGCTCTTAATGACACCAAAGTAAACACTGTTGCAGTGTTTAGAGTTACTCCACAATAATACTGTTCTTAATAACAATTCTTCACAAAATCTGAGATTATGGACTTCTGTTGTTGTAGGCTGGATCTTGCTTCGAGTAAACTCTCATCAACTTAAATGGGAAAAGGAAGACCTAGAGTTCCTTTGAAGCCATATATGTCTACTATATTCAGCAGTTATGCTGTTGTGGTTGTGGTCTAAAGAATGTAAAGCTTCAGGGCTTGCATGTCTAAAAGTTTAACTATGTTATTGCAGACAAAGAGAACCTGGCACCCAATAAAATCATAGCGTCCTATTGAAATTTAGTGACTGTTGTGACCACTGAAATTTATTTTCACAAAAAGTCAAAAATCTACTCTTGCAATCTACTCTTGCTTGATGATTTAACACCAAGATAACTTCTTGAATTCAGCGAGTTATCTAAGGTGCAAAATTTGGTTCATCTATGCTTAAAAAGCATATGCTGTTGTAAATCAGAGAAATTATCAGGGAGCAGGGTCAGGAGGATTAACTAATTAATGTATCTAATTGTATCATTTAACATAGGATGGATTTTTTTTTTTTTTAAGAGAACCTGAATATAATCTAGCTGCTGCCAACACCAGCTGTTTGGAGGGGAGGGGAGAGAGAGAGAGGGAGGGAGGGAAAAAAGGAGGAGTGAAAGAAGACGAAATGGAATTTGAGAGGGTAGCAAAAAGAAAGATGCTCCCTGTAAGCCAAGGAAAAAAGAGGAAGAAGAAAGACAGAGGCAAAGGGACCATTTGCAACAGATGCAAGAATATCTTCAATGTCAATAAAACCACAGCCAGAGGTAGTAGCCAACACAGAAAAACATTAAATAACAAAAGGAAAATGAGAAAAGGCCATGTGATTGAAATTTTACTCAATTCTAAGATAGCCACATAGAACTGGGCCTGACAAATAGCATGCATGCAAATGCAACAACATGAAAGTGTGAGGAAGTGGGAGAGATTTATCTGGGCCATGATGGCCACCCTTTGGGTAAACCTAAGGGATTGGGGAAGTCTAGGTAATATAAATTCGGTTTTTTAAGTCGTCCTGTTTATTGTAAAGAATTGCCACCCTGATCAAAAGCCTGGATGGAAATTTATGATTGGCCACAGTCTCAGAATGAGCTTGGCTAGCAAAGATACAGGGACTAGGTACAGAGGTAATCGTAGGGA